GGCACAGCGCTGCTTCCCTGTCCGACTGCACAGCTGACAGATAAATCCTGCCTTCCAGGAGCATGACCATTCCACGTGCAACCACATCTGCTGAATTCAGCTACTCATACCTTGGAGAACTAGTGTAGATCATGGAGTTTTTTGCTGCATAATCATAGCAAAGATGGCTTAAACTGGAAAAAAAGCATTTATTATATACACAAGTACTTTTAATCAGATCCCAAATTAATTTCAGAAATGTGCTGTCACATCTCACAGATGCAAGACATTCTAAAATAGCCGAGACCACACTTGAGCACACATTACTGGCTTCATCTCAAAACACTGTGCATTTTGCTTATTCAAGAAATTAGATGATGCTCTTCTACACAAAATTTAAGCCTCAAGCCAATATAATCATCTTGGTGTAGAGCTATGATATCGCAGAACAAGTTACCATATTTTTAAGTTGGTTAGTACGGATTATGGTAGAAATTTAAAAGAGGAAATAAAACGTTTCATGAAGAAATCAAAGCTGACTACAAAAGGATCACACACATCACTATTAAATTATACTGTCTTCCACAAAAAAAAATCCTCGTTAATCGCATAAAACTCCATTTGTTTTAGAAAAGCATAAATAAATAACATCGCTACATTTTATTTCAAAAGACTTTGTCATCTCAACTCTCTAGCACCACTCCAATACAGGTTAAGACTTGTTCATAAAGAGATCAATCACAGGCATGTAGCAAACATTAAAAAGGCATGCCAAGTACAAATCCTCTGTAAACTGGAAACAGTAGGCATGAAGCGTCTGTACAGCAAACATGAAAGAACTATGTCATTTTCCCCTTACGTGTCTCGAGCGTTTCTGATCTGGCAACTGGCAAATAATCTTCATGTTGCACGTTCCTAACTGAACTGAGTACGGATGTATGGAGAGTCTCAGGAGGAAGGCAGATTCTTAGTACTTCAATACTCGTGACCCTCTAAGACCACTTCCATTTCCCTAGTGACAGTAGTACCCTCCTAAGAGGAGCACTGAAGCAATGCTAATCCACACTGAACACACCAAAAGTGACAGTAACCCCTACTGTGTCCCTAAGTTACCCATAAAAAGGCCTCCCCCGTTCTTTAACAGGCTAAATACCAATCTTGTACACACTTCCACAAGGTAGGAAGAACTACTGAGCCTCCATAAAAAGGCCTCCCCCATTCTTTAACAGGCTAAAGTCCTTCCACAAGGTAGGAAGAACTACTGAGCCACTTTAAACAAGGGTGTAACACATGGGTCCTGCACCCTAGAGCCTTCCCAGAGGAATAATGGACAGATAATTGCTGCCTGGAACTGAGGGGACATCTGTCCTATACTGTAAAATTCAAGTAGCCCAGCCTGTAACGGTGCAGCACACTAGATCAGATCTTGCAAAAACTACAAACAGAGTACGGCACTACAGCGGGATAACCACTTACTGGCAAGTCTGCAAGTATGTGTGTGCATCTTCAGGGCAACTACGTACCAATTATAAGCAGGACGGCAGTATAGGGAGTACGGCACTACAGCGGGGATAACCACTTACTGGCAAGTCTGCAAATATGTGTGTGCATCTTCAGGGCAACTACATACCAATTATAAGCAGGACGGCAGTATAGGACAAAATGCAGAGCTCTGCTTATTTATTACTTTTTCAAATATTTAAAGTTTAAGCTTCAACAACTCTTCACAATTTTAAGTTTTATAATGGCTTTAGATATATTTAGAACCTTAAACACCAAACTCTCAAGGAAGTTTAATTAGGATTTTTAAAGATACAGAAAAAGAAAAAACAATGTTATAGAGGTCTTGCAGTCCAGGAGAACTAAGTTCATGAAAACATTAATTTATTAACATAAAACCTTATTTTCTAAGTTGTGGGGGTTTTTTGTGGAGTTCCCTCCTTACTCTCCCAAAACCAAAATTGCTCCCCAGAACAAAATGCTTTTCATTTAGGCTGCACAAGAATGTAGTGCAGGAGGTGTAAGGTTTAAGCAAAGCCACTGAACCAGTGAGTAGTACGCACACACAATCTAGGCACTATTCTTTTCAAAGGTGCTTTCACTTGAGAAAATTATTGCTCATCTGCCCATAGTTGTGCTCTTCACACTCATCTCTGAAACACTTGGTAAGATTTAGCAGACCTCAGGTGAAGGTCTAGGGCCTGATAATTCACACAAGAGGAAGTAGGCAGCCTACAGACTTAAATTACTAAATCTCATCTTCTACAAATAAGGACTGCTACCACCGTTTGGGAAACAATGGTTTCCATTGTTCATAGCTGCATTAAGTAGATGTAGGCTCTGAACAGACAATTCAATGAATTTATTCATGCTACGCTGTACTCCAGCGTATCAGCTAAAAGTCAGCTACAACAGCCTAATATAACTATGCACAGCAAGGCTGTGAATTTGAAACAGCAGTTCCTACATCCAGTTGCAGCTTGTGGTTAAGCCTAGACATCACTAAAGGCAGTGATCTTGATTTGGAGATCTGAAGGACACAGACGTCACAATATTCCAAACAAAAAACAGCCACTACTCTTTGCAGTCTCAGCTTGCTCAGTCTCGAGTCCTACTAGTAGGTTTTAAAACTGTTTTCTATTATTAGTTCCCTTTTACTGCCTCAACAATTATGGGCCACATCCTTCACTATTTTTTAACCTACTTTGGAATAGATGGTATGATTGAAACCTGCATTCACTGTGAACACAGGTTTTCATGGCAGTAATTCAAACAGTTCTTTCCCAAAGTCTTCCATGTTTTTCAGCATTCTTGAAACACAGATATATACTCCAAATAGGCTGAGAAACAAAGAAGTTTCCGCATAAGATGCTAAAACATGAAATTGTTTGAAGCCTTTCCCCTAGAATATGCAAGAGGCTTGGTCTTGTAACAAAGCTAGTTACAATCTTATAGAGACACTGTTCTGGTTTAAAATATTTCAAGGAGAAAAATTCCTGCTTTCCTTCTAGGATTGTTTGTTGCCACAACAAATCTCATCTATCTAAACTTCAAATATGTTACTTCTTATTTCCTCTCCTTTCAATTTTGCTCTTCAAAGATCAAAACACAAGCAGCTCCAGTAGAACACAAAAACCAAGCCACCTATCAACTGCAAGGTTCCTCCTATCAGAAAGGACTTTTAAATGAGGAGGAAGAAAACAAAAGGTTTTTCGTATTTATTCCAAGTAGAATGACTACGGAGAAGTGACTCAAGGTTAGGCAGCAAAAGTTAATGGAATGCCATCTGAAATGAAGACTGACTCAGTAACACATGAGACTTGCTAATCATTTGTTAATCTCCCATTCAAAAACCACTAGAACTACTCATGTAACACCAGTAAAACAGGAGAAGATACTGCCTGGTTTCCTCTTGACAGGAGAACGAACTTTAAATGAGAACGTCAGTTTTTCTGGCATTTGATACCAAGTGCTATGTACCCCCAAAGGATTAATTACTTTAGCATCTATGAATCAGGACTAAGTAAACTTGCAGTACAATGATTATATTCTGCTAATGTGCAAGACTTGCATAAGACTTATTCTTTGGATTTTCATTCTGTGTGCTGATACTTCACATTTTGCAGCAGGCATTCCCTCCTCCTCCTCTTGAACACATTATACCTTAACAGCATACAATCTTCTGGAACATCCTTTCTCTTGAATAGTTAAGACCTGTAACACCAGGCAGAATTTGTTGAGATTGAGAGACTGGACACTGGATTCTTACAGGTGGAATTGTCTAGGCCAGACAGGGAAAGAAATTGTCACATGAATGCTCTATAATGCTCCCTTAATTGTTGCGATCCCATAAAGGTTCTTATCTGAATTCAGAAGTAAATAAAAAAGGCTCAAATCGAGTTAAAATTGAGCATGTCTGTTTAGAAAGGTAAGCCTGAACAGAAAACAAAGTATAGGCACAGGTGATATTAAGTAATATAGTTTTGCCTATTTTTGGTGTTTACTTAGGTAGTCTTTTTTTTTTCTCTAAGTTATTAGTAAGTTTTGGCAGTAAAGAAACATCTCTTTCTTCCTTTCCAGAGAATACATATTACAAGGAGGGTTTTTTTAACATTTGCCCACTATTCATATGGTTTTCCAGCTCAGCATGTTTTGAATTGTTTCAGAGAAAATTTTCATGTCTATCTCACATGGAAGAGAAGATCTGCATGTTTCACCAAAGTCATTTCGTTCTGTAAAAAGACAAGTTTTAAAAGCAGAATACCAAATGCCTACAGCTAACTAAAACTAGATGAAAAGCATGGTGGAACAAACTTGTAACATCTTCAGGTAACACTGAATGAATTGCCTGCTAGAAAAGTAGACTGAAGCAGCTTTCTGTAGTAACACCCAAACCCCACTACAAAACTCTCCATATTGACCATTAAAGACAGCAAAACTATTCATACCAGGAAAAAAAAGTTAGTGTAGAGCCTGTTCCCTTCCTTACTTCTGCAGCTAACACTACCACCTAATTAAAGCACTCTGCTTGCCAACATTAAATGCACAGTCATGGCAGAAGCCAACTCAATGTCTTTTCCCCTTGACTCAGTGACAGAAGAGATACAAAATCCCATGCAGTTCCTTCAAATGTTTTGGGAGTTCGATTTAAGACCTAGATGTTTAGCATGTTCTCAGTAATAGCAGCCTTAAGGAGTTCAGCTTATTTTAGTCGTACTATGCTTAACACTAATACTTCATAGTCACTGCAGTAAATTTTAGAAAAGATCCAGTTACTTACGCAGCAAACAATTTACGTCTTATCATGCTGCTACTAAGATACATCTACACACAAAGCTCTAGTCTTACAGCTACAGGATAAGATCACATCAAGCTAATCTACTGATTAATTAGCTAATACTTCATCATGTATTCAATCAGCAGTGAGCTACACTTGCCACAAAACAGTTTAGCCATTCTTTAGTAAGGCTGCTGTGCTAGTTTAAAACTTAAGCTAAAGCATTTCAGATATCCCAGAAAATATATGAATAAAGCTTTATTTTTAAGCAACACCACAGACTATTTTAATACAACCCACACATTTAAGTCAGGTGGAGAGTACTAAACTGAACAATCATCGCTAAAACATTTCCATTGGAAATGTGTTAAAGTTCACAAGTGTCTTCATTACCACCTTACTGAAATTTCCTTATGTGTTTCTAGTCTACACACCACATATTTCACGCAGTCATGCAAATCTGAATAAAATTTTAAATGTTCAGGTAACAGGGAAGTCCATTCACTGCAAAGATTCATTTTTCACAGAAGAGCCAGGCTAGGTAAGACCAAACACTGCAGGGTTCTTCATGAGAGTACAGGTGTTTTAGAAACCATGAACTTTCAGTTGTTCTTCCTTGACAATGCCAATCTAAAGGAAAAAAACAACTTATTTCAGTAAAGCTTATATGCTTAGGACATTACAGTGATATCAAGTTACCAATCTATTTTAGTCAAAGAAACTGCAATACAATATATACTCAATAAAGCAGTTTTCTGGTTTCCAGAATGTTTCTGGCACAAGCAGAAGAACTGACTACACCAAAAAGAAAATCTTGTTACACATCTGACTTGTTCTGTAGACCAAGCACTTATTCTTTGACAGTATAACATCTCTGCATCATGATTTGCATCAGTAAGCCTCTTTCCTCTATAGTGTTTTCAGCCTCAAAATTATGGTTTGCATCAAACACTTGATTTTACAAATGAAGAACTCAAGCTGCACTGACAGAGAACAAGTGGTATGTTGTAGCCGGGTAAATGCATTCTACAGTGTTTTGATTCTTACCAGAGCTTTACCCTCACTCTGCAAGTGTTATTTTACTTTTTGGCTGAAAATACAAAGGAACTAATAGTGGACATCTTTAGCTGGCTAATGAACATCAGTGCCACTTGTCACTGTTGCTTCCAGAGAGGTTTAGATATTTATCTGCAGTCCCTCACCTCCAAGAGGAATTGGCAGATGTTCTTCCTCTGGTCACCCTGAAGCTGGATAACTTCACCGTATTCAGGATGTTCAATCACAGTACCATTACACGCAAATTTCTAGAAAGAAACATTCATATTGTAAGACATCTAATGTACATTATGATTTTGCTTAGTAAGTCTTTTCAGCAGAACTTAGTCACAGAAGCTGCTTATAAATTCTGATGCCAAGCAAGGCAAAGGTTAGGTCTATTTTACACTGGTTTTGAGAGCAAATGGAATATATTTGCTGATGCATACAAACACAAACCAAGCTGCTGATGGTAAATTTAGGCAAAGACAGGATTAGCTACTGTGCAGAAGGAACCAGCCAACACTCATGACAAGAATGGAAAATAAAGTCATAAGATACAGTCTTTCAACTCCACACTATTTAAAAGTATTTTCATCCTGGCTAAACTCAAGATCTCTATTTTCAACAGCAACTCGGCTATGACAGAAGTAGGAATGCAAAAACAGTTCTACTTTAAATTGATTTTATTCTTCACAACAACAAAGCCAGTTATCTGTGAAATTTTAATGAAACACTCAGAATATTTATTTACTCCTTTATAAGAAAGAAACATTTAACTTTTTACCAAAAATCAGTGTCACTAGACACTGATAGGAGTTTTGAGAAAGATGGGGAAAGGGATCAACCTGAATATGAAAGTGATGTGCACTGGCAAGAATGAAATAAAGCAAATATTCTGTTATTTAGTATTAGAAGCTATCATATTCCTTTATATAACATCTTTATTACCAAATCAAATCAGCAACTTCACCTTTTTGAAAGCTTTCACAAGTTTCTTCTTGTCATAATCATCTGCAATTCCCTGAACAGTAGTTAGTGTCTTTCTTCCGTTTCGTTGTTGGATCCTTATATGAATGTAATCTTCAGTCCCCGCCGGGAGTAAGTCGTCACCCTTTGTTGCATCAGCAAAGGGGTCTGCAGGAGCAAAAAGATTCATGTAATTCCCACAAAGGAAAATACCCAAGCTCAAAACTAACAGGTAAGATTCTCACTTCACAAAGAGCTTTATTTAGGTGATAATCTTGCTGTTTTCTCTCTGTTTAAAAATGCACTGTTAAAATCAGAGTAGTTTTTTCTACACGTGTATTAAGTCTCACTAGCCTACTAACTCAGCATAGTGCTTTCAACTATCACGCATCCAGTTTCATCAATGCCTTCCCAATTTTCAGCTACAGTATCGGTTTACTTAACTATTTCCTGTAAACTGTAAATCCTGAAGCTCTGAACCTGAAAACAAGGTTCCAAGAGAACATCAAGTGCAACTAAGTTTTATACAGCCACATGCATTTTAAGTGAAATACACAAGTCATATCTTCTATCAGATCAACTGATAAATATGGACAAATAAAAAAAGCTCTTGTACACACATTCTTTTACAGGTCCAGAACATAAGTCTTATACCACGACAACTACCACACTACCAGCATTTTAAGGCATAGATGTAATTCTTGGCTACTAATGTTAAACAAAACATGGCCACAGACACTAACAGACATCAGAGGCTGGCTGTAAACCAGCACCCCTCTGCCAGTCAGTAATCTTAGGCAAGCATTGTAACAAAATGCATTTAGGCTTTGACTGTAGAAAGGTCAGTTCTCAGATTCTTCCAAGCTTACATTTATCTAGCACAGGTGAAACAGGAAGGCTTTTAGGAAGAAGAGTTTCCAGGTTATGCTGCTTATTCTCTGTTCTCAACAGAAATGTATTTAACACTCACTCTATCAAGAAATTTTATAGCCCTGCAAGTTTCCGAATCAGTTGCTCCACATAAATCTTGAAGCATGAATTACTTTTAAGTATTATTTTTATTAAGACAAATCACGAGGAATTTTTTGATACTAATCAGAATCATATTGAAGAGCCTGATCTTCAGAAAGCATAGGTTCAACAGCCCTACCAGCTAAAATTTCCCAAACTTTCATCCAAAACTCAAACCTAAAAACACTGATCAAGTTTTGCCATCCAGTCAAAACAAATGACCCAAAAGACTACAACTTCAGCAGAAATAGGAACAGAAGTAGTTCAGCTGCAGACAGACTGGCCCTTGTAGAAACAAGAATGACAAGAGCATTAAAGGCACTGCATGCAGGATGAGGATGCAGGCACCACAGCAAAGAAGTACAGCACTGGGAAGCTTGACTGGCTTAATTTCTACTGAGGCACTTGTTAAAGTATGCTGAATTTCATTGTGCCCCACAGCTTGTGGGGCAAACACTAACAGAAAATCTCAGTCAAAGAAAAGGTGAAAGAAAAACAGGACTTAGACATGAAGCTCACCCGGCAGAGTTTAGGATTCTAGGTTGGAGATAAGCCAGCGCTGTAGGTGTTAACATTGGATCACTTCAAACAAATCCTTTGGGCAGCACCCTCCTAAGCACAGGGTCAGCTCGCAAATCCTGATTAACGTAACCTTCTCATATGGCTTGTATGTGCAGGAGATTAGAGACAAAACTCAGACAGGAGGCCTGACAACATTATTGTATAAAGTGGTAACTTGCTCACTCCTGTTGCCTTGTAGACAAGGCAGGTGGAGAACCACGGTCTAGCACGGTAAACTTCCCTGCTAATACAAGAGAAACGACCTGCCATCTGCACAGCTCGATCTATAGAAACAACACCCCGTGCAGGCCATGTATCAGGTTCTGGGGCATGGCTCAGGGTAAGACGAGGCAACAGATCAACACGCAACTGGAACTGAGGAGATCGCTCCCTTCCTTAGCAGAGGATACAAACTCTCGACTCTCTCTGCCCACGCAGATTACAACTTTGGGGCTGCAGAGCTGACGGAAAAGCCCAGTTTGGGGGGCTACCCGACACTCATGCAAACGGCGCCGCAGGGGGTGGGAGAGCGCGGCACACGGCAGCATCTCCTACGGGAGCGGCGAGGCAGCAAAGGGAGGCAGACGGGCCTCCCACCCGA